TTCAGACATACAGCTAAACAGAGATCGCAAGATAAGCAAATATATATATATATATATATATATATATATATACATAGCTGTTATGTTAAAACAATATGTGCAGTGTACATCTACAACATCTACAGGCCAGAATGCTGTAATAACAGGATCTTGGTGTAAAGTGTGTGTGTGGCGCTGAGACGAGTTTTGAAATAAATATTTAGCATTCCATATTAAAAATGTTGAATCTAGTCTGAATCTTGGAGAGAAGTTCACCATCCAGAACCAAACTTGTGTTCCAAAACAATTATTATAAATGAAAATGGTATTATTTCGATACAGTCAGAGAACATTTGGAGAGGTAATCAGTGGTGCTGCAACTTCCATGTGTGTGCACCTTCAACTGTCGTGTGTGTCATGTGATCGCGAGCATTTGATCATACCTTGTCCCTGCATGGGTGGTATGTCCTCTGCATGTGCCTCACAATACATCCAACGAAGAACTAAGCTTTAGAAGTTAATATGACATTTTAACAGCAACAAAATTCACATAAAGAAGGAGAGAAAACTGCTGTGTCATTATTGTAGTTCTCTCACCCAGCAGGATGTGTCTCTCTCTGCGACTTTATGGCTATTTTCCTTTTGCAGAGCTATTCTTTGCCTCAGCGCCCCTCTCCCTTAATTTCCGCCTGTCTGCATATGTTTTGGAGGCCATTAATCGTCCCCTGCACAACATGCACCCCAGCAGATAATTACGGTCATTAAACCAATTAGGGAGCACATGGATGGGAGGTTCCAGTCAGGCCCCCAGGCCTCCCACTCCCCTTCTTCTCTTACCAGGACGGCCGAGGTGGTCCGCTGCAAACCCTCGCAAAGCCTTGAATAAAGAAGGGAGTGAATTACTTCAGCCCAGCTCTGGATTAATGCAATTTCCTGTTGGTGTAGCCTTGACAGACTTTGCCAACTTTGCTGCAGGCCAAGCGGCCAAGCCATTAGCCAGCAAAAGTCCTCCTTATTTTCACATGCCTTTTGTGTGGTACGAAGCAGTCATTTGGGTTTATGTCATCAGGAATATATTTTCCTCAAGGCTAAGAGGGGGGATTCTGGCTCTTCTGTGGCAAAACACTAAAAATGATAGGAAGATATCGGAAGGGGAGTGAAATGTGGTCTGCCTGTCTGCAGACAGTGGTTTTCAACGTGCTCAGTCTATCATGTGACTCTCAGGCTAATGTTATGGGCTGACACAGAGGGTGTTCTGGCAAAAGTTAGGTGCTAACACACAAGACACACAACTGTGATTACCTAGTTATTGAGACAAACGGAACTTTGACTTCCAGTCACCGGCCACATGCGCAGGCAAGCCACAGAAAGTCCCTCACACTTCCTCAGAAAGTCTCACATGGACAGTTGCGTTGTACAACAGACAGTCGAGGCATTTCCCAGCATTCTTCATGTTTTTCTTGGCACGTGTGTCTCCAAAATCTTCAAGGAGAGAAAAAAAACAATTTTAACCAGATGTTAATGGTGTGAGCTTTGTTCACAGGCCTCGTAACCTCCGACATTAGAAAATGTGGATCAAAGAAAGTAAACAAGCCATTAAAAACAAATCTGAATTTTTTGATTAGGGGGTTTTATAAGCGGCTAGTGTGAGAATTACAGAAAGACATAAAGGGAATTGCTATTCCTAATCAGTCCACTGGGGATCACGCTGGTGAGTTACGCATGCCAAAGACTCTCCTTGAGAATTGGCTTAACACATTAAGAGGACTTAGTACTTAACTAGTTATTTTGATAAATTATCATTCTAGATTAAAACGGATATACTTACCTTATCTTGGAATCATATCATATATCTACCATGAGCATACTTCCATGACCAAGAGCCAAATTATGTCTTAATCTTTCTTATCTGCCTTTTTTTACATATTCCACTGGTACTAGAAATCAAAAATAAAACTGATTGTATCCAGACTGTATTAAAAGTTCCCATCTTTTTGCCTCATATCAATCTACAAGGAAACTGTGCGTGGGTCCACATTACCACTGCAAAAGCCGAACAAGCTCTTTACTGATTCGGGGGATTTGTCATATAAATATGGAGAGTCTATGTATTCCTCACAAATAAATGAATGTATTATTCTTTCATTTTATATAGTATACTTTATGATAATGGTTTATCTCTGGAGGATGTATTTGATTGATGATGCATATATGACACGTTATGTTTAGTACATGCTTGTCAAACATTGGTCTGTTCTTTTCAGGGAAAAGATGCAATATCCTGCAGCTTTGTTCAGCTCTTCTGATTGGGACAACTTGAGTGTAGATGGTGATTTTGATCAATCGTGGAGATCACAATCATCTGATTATTGTGTTTGCGTCTATTTATGGCTCCTTCTGCTTTGTGAGGGTGATTTGACGATGCCCCACGGGAATGAAAGATTCCAACTAGCTGGTGGTTTGGGATATAAACCACAACAGCTCACTCAAAAAGCACAAAATGACTCGAGACTAGACTAAAGTCGAAACTGACTGAAACTTTTTATGTGGATGGTGGATGGCGCTTTTTGAGAATGATCCTCCTTCCCTAAAGCGCAACACAAATGGCTGCCGCTGAATGTCTGTGGCTTCCAAGGGAGGAGCATCAGTGTGTGAAGCCATGCCACATTCCTCCAGCTCCCTCGGCTCTCCTCAGCTGCACGGGGAGTCGGGGAGGACTTCTCTCATCGTTAATGTCCAAACATACTTCAAATCCAGGCAGAAATCCAATGCTATGGGCAGTAGATGTTAAGACAAAAAGGTGTCTGCAACATGCAAGGCAGGCGAGGACCACGAGGTACCACTTTTCCCCACACGCCTTCAGTGGCGTTGCAAGTTTTGATTAATAACACATTTCCAAGGAGTCAACAGAAAACACATGTGGATGTTTGCGGCGCTGCTTTCCAAAATGTAGGGCGAAAAGATGCGTGATGATGAACTGAGCACATTTGTCTTTTCACCACAAGATGTCAGACTCTTCCCAACAAGGTTTCTCTGTCACGACCACGTTGGCCTCTCTAATTCCAGTCCAGCGGCCTGAAAGAGTCTTAGAAAAAGTTCCAGGGATCATTGCAAAAGATGGATTTTGTGAAATTCTTAGGAGCAGAATAGTTATCTTTCAGATGCCAAAACATCCTTCGGATAAAGCATAACTCTATGTGATGCAATAGCCATCTACTGCAAAGCTCAGTGACCTGCTGGTGGAATATGACCGACTCCCTGTCAATGCTTTATCAACTGCATCTGGATAAGCAAACACAAAGTGCTGGGTGAAGCCTCTGTGAGACGTAACGGTGTCATGTAGCATCAAGAGCTGACTCGAGGGTGTTTGTTTTGTCCTAACAGCTACCTGCACTGGGATTTGTGGCTATTTGCTGTAATTCAATCAGTATCTGTATGGATGCTTTAGTGGTCGTGCTCTTACGTTTCTTTTTACTGCTTTTGTTCACTAACAGGGAATAATAAACTAATTGAATAGGAGGGGATTTCAAACTACACACAACATCTGTAAAGATTCAATTTAAAAGTCAGCACACGTTGGCTGAAGATATTTGAATGTACGGACCTCTCATGAAGAGTATTTCTACAGAATGCTAATCCTCAGACATCAGACAGGGAGCGGTGGTAACACGCAGGATGAGGCTTGCGCACGGCGACACCAGAAAGGATAAAAATGTAATGGAAATGCTATGAAGTAAGGCTCTCAATCATTTTGTATTGCTTCTCTATGCTAGAAAATCACGTGAAGATCAACTTTTGTCCTCTAATATTATCTATTATGCTGAATCAACACACATAAACGCACGTTTCTTTCTTCCTTTTTTGTTTGTTTTGTTTTGGGAAGTAATCTCTTTAAATATGCCAGTGGCACTTATTCATCCCAACGACACATCAATAAAGATGCAATATTTGGAGGAAACGGCCATAATATAAGGTGAATTAAGTCACAATTTTTCATGATAGCTGCTGGCCTGCTATGCAGTACACTCATTTTCTGCTGACACGTTAAAATCGCCTTCCAAGAGGACTCTCTATACACTTAAGTCACCTGGCAGCTCTCAGCCTGAAACAGAGTGTGCAGAAGTGGCTGCACGCTGCACTTTGTTGCAGGTGGAGAACCAAAACAAACAAGTGTGTCATCGATGTGAGGTTTATTCCAACAAACTCCATCGGGTCCGCCCATCGAGGACAGAACTTATCTTGTCATCATTAGCAAGGGCACGAGAAGACTTTTCACTGTAAAGGGTAAATAAATTCTTATGAAGAAATCGCACGCAACTTTTTCTAATCCCCTGGATGCTGGCGTGTCCAGGGTTGCGCAAACTTTATCAGGACCACATTTCCCAGCTTGGACTCATTTGACTTCATTTAAAAAAAAATAAAAAAAGCTTCTAAAAAAAAATGAAGTGGCTTGGTTGCCATGGCAACATGATTTTCCCCCAAGAGCCCTGGTTACATTATCACATTGCATTCTCACATTTCATTACAGGTGAAGGTGTGTGTAACCGAGCCGACGAGGTCACGAGAGACAAAGCAGGCTTTGTTTAAAGGTGTGAATGTGTGTTATTGAGTCTGTGTGTTTATTTATTAAACCGTAATCTCTGAAAATTAGAAATTAAAATATTCATTTCAGAGTTCGTGGAGCGTAAACATCCTAAACACCACAAACAGCAATAATCAGATGGTATCTGTCCAATACATGATGCGTGTAATGCACTTGTAGCGGCCATTTGATTATTTGGCACAATGCAATGGTGCTGAACTGTCAAAATATGAAGCCCTCCATTCACAGTGAGTCTCCTGCATGTGGATGGAGAGGAAGAATAGTGAGGTGGAAGAGGAAATAGAGGGGAGGAGATTCTAAATCGTCAGCAAACGGGCATTCATGCCTTTTCCCCCGATTTCTTCTCTCTCTCTCTCTCTCTCTCTCTCTCTCTCTCTCTCTCTCTCTCTCTCTCTCTCTCTCTCTCCGTCTCCCCCTCCCCACGTTTTGTCTGTGTCGCTCCCTCACCTCTCCTCTCCTATACAGACAAGTCAGCCAATGCATCAGCCTGCAGCCCATCCGGCTTCCACTCGCACTCTCCAGCTGCCTCCCCTCCTCGCTTCTCTCCGCCGGATCGTCCCTCCTTTTTCCTCCCCCGCCTGCTTTCCTCCCCTTCTCCGTCCCTGTCACCCGTGCCTCGTCCTCCTCATCCTCAAGCCACCATGGTGAACAGATAACCGCCCGGCCGTCGCGACGCCATGGGTGCCTGCTTCTGCAAAGGCCACAAAGGTCAGTGCCCAAATCCACCTGTTTGTGTGTCCAAGTCTGCGTGTGTCATCGGGGGTCGGCTCAACCCGCGGGAGGCGTTGGCGGCGGCCAACGAGCATTCGAGGGGAGCAGCTGTTTGGAAAAGTTACATCTTGCTTTTCGAGGGGACGGCTCTGTAGGTGAGAATCGAGGCGATTTTAGAAAAAACGAACGAGGTCCCTGAGGCAATGACAACCTCCTGAACCCTATTTTTAAGCCCCCGCTTGCATGTAATCGGATGCAGAGCGCAGATAAAAGCAGGCAACCCACTTGTTTTCATCTGCACTTTTCGCTGTGATTGTTCATCTGAGAATCAATCCATGGACGTTGAGAAACTGGACTTTTGGCAAGTTGATCGGATGACCGCCAGGATCAGCGGACGACAGAAGACAGCCCCATCCAACGCTCATATTCAACTTCACGTGATTGGAGGATGTGACTTGGGTTGCAATTTTCTCTCTCATATTTGCTGTCTGCCGGGAGCGTTAGGAAGCTTCTCAGTGGAAACGAGGCAGTATTTGTTCTTTCAGGGGGAACACAACACTTATTTGTGCTGTCAAAACAAAGGATCAGAAATAAAAGGGCAGTTGAAGGTGTCTGAGATACCTCCTGAACAATAATTTGTTGTTTGATTAGTGTGCGGCATCTAACGTCATGACACATTCTCACACTTTATTTTTAGCCCGGATCTGTGAGTCAATATGTTGTGAGATAAGAAGCCTGCTTTTGTTCAGCAAGGATCCCTTTTAACAAGGTGGAGGGTGTGAGGGCAGCGCTTTCAAGCTGGCAAGAAAGAGGGAAGCCAGCTGTGAGGCTCCTGGAAGACTGAGAGAACAGCTGGAGTGTGTGTGTGTGTGTGTGTGTGTGTGTGTGTGTGTGTGTGTGTGTGTGTGTGTGGTTAAGCCCATAAATCATGACGTTTTTTTTCACTTGCTGATACCCTTTGGTGAGGCCAGAGCACAGATCGTGACTCCAGTAAATGAAAGCCTATCGCTGGCCTCTTGTTGCTGTCGCGTATCCATAGCGACAGACCATCCCAGGGGGAAACCCCAGCCATGTTTGTAAATGCTAGTGTCCACGTGCCCGCTGACCTTTCTAATGATGTTAATTTGCCGTTGCTCTGAAGCGCGCTTCATTTCTTCCTGCCATTCATATGAAACTCATCGCCGTCAATTAAAAAGCAAACAGGCCCGGTGTGCGGAGATAATTGTGCAGAGAGGATTCCAGTGGAATCTTGCTTGGCCCCCCCGGCCGTCTGTGTCAACTGGGTTTTGGCTTTATGGAGCTTCAGCCTCGCCAGGAAAACACACCAATCGCACACGCACATAGAGCATGACGATAACGCCGGCATCTGTGTGTGTGTGTGTGTGGCTCCCCACAGAGCTCCACCGTACCATGACAGCACGGCAGGACCAGGCCGACCGCGTACCGCCATCCTCTGTGAAGGTGAGTGAAAGGCCTCTGCTTCACCTTTAGGGCCTTTGAGGCCTGACGTCGGCCAGTGGGTCTGCCTCCAAAACGCAGACTGAAAGCAACAAGTATTGGATTTTACAGTGTTGGTTCAGCTGAATTATGACGGGATACGATAAGGTACTTGAGGCGGTATAGAGTGAATTTACCAATTCATTAATTGATTGTTAAAAGTATGTCAACATTCTTTTGCAATAAAAAAAAAGCAAAAGCAAAATTAAAAGGTATTGCCAATTCAAGCCATTAGAAATAAAACAAATGTTAAACCTGTCAAACTTGTCTTACAATCATTATGTCCTCATGCATTTAAAGATGTGATGATATTAAAATGAAAAGTTGTTAAACATTTGTTAAAGAAGGAATAATCTTGTTGGCACGTAAAAAGAGTGGTTCCATTGGGAGGACTAAGACCTCTTGGGTTTGCAGTGACAAACATCTGGCAATGAAGTACTTGATTCCAAAAATAGACACGGCCATAATTTGCCCAAGAGACTGCTGGGTTTTCCCAATTTTCCCATTTTACATTAAAATGACTCTTATGTTGCATCTTATTGCCCGTATAATTTAATTTGGAATGAATTCCAGCACTTTGAAGTGGAACCATCCACTAATGTATGAACTTACTTGTAGTCCTATTGTTCTTGCAAACTTTTTTACTTTTAGATCAAAAATAATAAACCAAGGGAAATTAATTTACAGCGGAGTTCCTCTTACCATGTTGAGTGTTGATATGTTTACACAAATGCCACCTGTTATTATCTTCAACAATGTGTGTGTGTGAAGATACATTTGCTATTATGTGTGCATGGATTTTTCTTGTTTTGCTCCTATATAAGACAACAATGCATCTCTCTGTTGTTAATAATTCCATGTCATGAATTGTAGCAACTATCTTTGTTTTCGGTAGATTACATTTTTTCCCCTTACATCAATGATAAGGGTGTGACATTCTCCTACTTCTTGTGCATCATGCTGTGCAGAATGGCCAGAATCCAACCAATGGCAGTGTGTCGGATAAAAGCGATGGCTATGATATCGGCGAGCTTGCTACCTCCTCTTTGATTGGTGAGACAGACAGACACACACACACACACAGGTTCAGGTCATGCAGTGTTCCATTATGAAACTGGGGAAACAGAAAGTTGGGAAATGGCATTAGTATTGGTGTAGTATTATAATCCCGCTTCATACCATTTCTCCCTCACACATAAACTGTGAGGCCATTGTACTACACAGTCTGATACGCAGGCGGTCGGTGTCTCCTACTCTTTTATTCCCCATCGTCAGCGCTTCCCTCCGTCTGCGTGGGGGGGGGGCTAATTATGTGACTTAATGTGTTATTCCTCGCTGAACCTTTCCCAGTGAATGCTCCTTTATTACCCCGTCATTACAATTATGAAGGATGTGAAAACCTCATGAATATGTCAGACGAATGCAGAGGTTGAGGGAGGCAGCTGAGAGGCCAACATCTGCTTTGGGAATGACAGAATCGGTCAAAAAGGCTTTTTGGCATTTACTCAGACTTAATCACTCACTAAGTTCTGTTGAGGGAAGCAGTCACAAAGTGCAGCCGACAAGCTGCTGAAATCAGATCACACTGCAGCAAATTGTATTAATAGTATACATTGGAATCACATTTAGAACAATATCATGCAGAACATTATTGCTACAATTCTTCTTCTTCTTCTGCAATGATGTTGGATTGATTTATTAAGCTGGGGACATTTTTTTCAACAGCGAATGGTTAAAAAAGCTCTGCTGGCGGCACCAAGAAAAATAAATGAAATCATTACATTCCGCTAATTCAATAGTGTCCCATTGAACAATGTAAACCTTGCAGCAGTTGTTATGTGTCATGGACGGACAGGGATTCAACAATCAGATGCCAAAAAGCCAATGTGACATTCAGCCACGCTCAATGAAGGATGAGGCCTCATGACTTTAGTGATCCCTTGTACAGCTGTGTTGTTGAAAAGCTTCCTCCAGTCCGGTGATCTAAGCCGGGCTCACGTAGTGCGGCCTTGCCAAGCGGCGACCTCCGGAAGCGCCAAAGATTGCTAATGGTGACAAGTGGCTGACTCCACATTTGATTCAATCCACATAGGATGCTGAACGCCTGGTATGAACTGTAGTTCATTTCAGTGGATGCACCAGATGTCCTGACACATCAATAACAATAAACTCTGAGGGAACTGGACCATCTTTTAGCCTTCAAAATCCACATTTTTTGTGCCTGCAGTTTTTGATTTTCTTTCTTATTGGTTAAGTCAACAACAACTGGAAATCAACACTGGTGGTGCTTGCAAATCATAGTTCCTACCAATTAAACCCCCTTCTGGATGTGATATAAAGTTGTTTGGCTAAATAACAAAGCTTAACACCTACACTCCCTGTTTATTCGTCCCCTTTGTTTCCTCACATCAACAGCAGGGAGTGATGCCTGACAATACGCATCTATTTTTGTAAATGGACTCATTCCTATGGATTCTGGTTGAATTATTATCCCCTGTATCAGTTTTATGATGGTATCACGATGATTATTATGCATCCCTGTGTGATAACAGGATAAACAAGACTGATAAATACATACAGAATAATGTATGTTTTGTTGCATCCACGAAAGAGGCAGTATTATTATTCTTGCCTCTTTCATGAAAATAAAATATCAAAAACTCAACCTAGCGGGTAAAGAGACCAAAAACTGAGTTGGTAATCACTGGACTTACATCTGTGGGGTATGACTCTACATGGATGCTAATGATGCTCAGATGTCTGTTTTATGTGTAAATTAAATTGCCTTTATAATATATCAATCTTGTTTCCATCTTGTGAACAATATCAGTTAATGCAGTTGAGCTTAATGATGTTATAACATCAAATATTATGACTTTTTATTAAATATAGGTTTTCATGTGCAAAACACAGAAACAACTCATAACTTCTAGTCAACTATTTAATGTTGCATTTTTCAATCCAAAAGGGATTTTACCCCTAGAAATCAGCAGAGAAATATTTGCGAGCCCATTGAAACATCCAAAGCACGATTACTCTGTAACGGCAGCCTGATGTCATTTCAGCAATCCAGTGTGGACAGCAATGCTAAGTTATCCAATTTTGACAAATAAATGGGATTTTCCTGTGGTTTTGCACCGGGTTACTTAAATAGATGCAAACATAAGCTGTATTTTTGTCTCTCTCATCACCTTAAGAGTGTCAGCCAGCACAGAGACACATTGTCCCAGTGTGAATGGGTGAGACAGCAGCGGGTGTCACAGTGCACAAGAGAACCCGGAGAAGAGTCGGGAGGTGTTGAGCTCGAATGAAAATAATGCGTCAGGATTTTCTTTCTTTCCGTTTCACTTAGCGGCTGCTGACTCTCTGTAATCTCTTCTTTTATCAACTGTTTCTAGATCTCGTTACTGTGTCCTCTTTCCCTCTTTCATCGCGTTTCTCTCCCTGCTTTCTTTTCCGTAATCTTAACCTTTTCCTCCTCATTCTCTGTTTTCACCTTTCCAAGCTTGTTCCATCCTTTTGCATCTGTTTAACTGAGCTGTTCTGCAATATAAGGGCCGCGGATTTCAGGACTGTCACTTTTGCTTCAACCTCCTCATTTCCTTTCACCTCTCCAACCTTGTCCTGTGATTACATGAAATGAGGGCTCCATTGTAGTTCGGCCCAGTGATTCTACGGGTTATGAATACAATTTTACTGCTGAGATACGGGGTCACGACGCGTCTATTAGATGCTGCTCGAGTCTTGACAGAAGTTCATTAAGTCAAAGCAACAGAGCTAATGATTGGAGGCTTGGATTTGAGTCACAACGGTGACTTTTAAAGCAGCTGATTTATTTCTCAACCTTTAAATGAATAAAGACAGGCCTTCCATTGTGACCGGGCTTGAATAGTTCATTATTAAGGTGTGCTCTGACAAAACCTGAAGTGATTGTAAAAGGCAGAGCAATCTGTTGCTAGCTAACGTGCAGCTGATGTCTGCACAGTTGGCTTATTGGCTGTTTGCAGCGAATCAACACACCCAGCAGTCCAAATCACACAAATGACGTGTCTGTGCACATTGCTTTCAACCTACACGCGCCGAGGCAACGTGAACGCTTTGCACGTGTTGAAGTCAGCATGCAGAGAGCTGATGGACTTTTCCCTTGTCCTTGCAATATGTTTCAATCCAGCCTTTGTTAAACCGATATCTAGAGCCTGAAATAAACTACAAAGTAAAGCTGGAGCAACGTCGTGTTGTGCCATTTTTGGTCAACTGAAATGTGACGGTTTGTGTAATTTTCATTATAGGTCTTCTATCCCTGTGAGCTTGTTACGCGGCTGCTGAAGTGCTGTCAGTGATCAACAAGAAAATGTACATTTCTCTCCAAATTTCCCTCGGGTGCTGTTACACTGCAATTTTCAACCCCAGTGAAGCTCGAAATCACACGGCCGCGGCAGAAACGCCTCTTTCATGCTTCAAGTTATGCAAATCAGCCGAAAATGTTCACCGTCCAAATCTGAATTACGCTAAGTGCTCTTCTCAATTCATTGTTAATCACTCTTTCGCTTCACTTTTTTTCCATTTCCATATTCCTCTCCCTTAATACGACATTATTTCCTCCCTCAATATGACCTCCTGGAAACCACCTCAAATTGTCTCCTCACATCCTCTGCCACCACACCTTGCTGTGGACGTCCACCTAATCCTCTTCGTCGTGACGGCGGCCCTCCTTCTCCTCCTCTTACTCAGGTCTGGTGGCCACGATAAAGGAGCGCATCACCAAGCCCACGGCGATGGCACAGGGACGAGTGGCTCACCTGATCGAGTGGAAGGGCTGGGGTGGAGGAGGCGAGGCCACAGGAAGCGGGGTCGGCTGGAGCGCGGCCCGGGGGCGCTGCGGCGGGGGGTGGGGGGGGACGGCGCTGCACGAGGACGAGCAATTCTACTCCCAGATGACGGACGAAATCAAGGAAGCTCGCTTCGCTGCAGGTGAGACGGATGAAACGGTTTCAATGGAAGGGACAAACAGGGTCGGCGGAGAGACGCTCACGTCCCCGCGGGCCTCGTCTCTGTTCGATTGGCTTTTTGCAGACAGAGCGTTGACAAAAAAAAAATCAATAACCCCGACTGAGACGTGTCAGGGCAGTGACTCAAATCTAGAGCACTGTTTTTTTTTCTTTTCGATTTACATTGTTTTGTGATAACGGTTGACAAGCGCAGGTGGACTTCTGAGAAAAGAAACGCCAAGCGTGTTTGTTTCGCAGGAGTAGCAGAGCAGTTCGCCCTGGCCGAGGCGTCCATGAACGTGTGGTCCCTGAATGACGGCCTACAGCAGCCGTCCTCCAGCTTACAAGGTTTGTCACGTCAACGTGTGTCACTTTTAGCGAAATGGGAATCTGTTGCGTCCCAAAAGTCTGACTTTAAAGTCTTTTCTCTAAATCTTTTACTTTTTTTGACCTCCTGACACAATCAACACCTGCTGTACTGCTTAAATACTTGTATATGTGCAACACAGATGTCTATGATTGGATCGCAAAGTTGGTTCTGAAGGTGGTTAGTGGGCCCTCCAGATACTGCGTCTGCACAAGCCAACCCAGTCTCACAGCAAAACGTGTGATGGCTGCGTTGTGGAACGTGGTATTCTCACGCTTTCTCCCCAACATCGTGACAATACTACGTTTTGTATTGGCCCGTTCATTTACATTGCCTTGCAACTACGTCACTAGAAACTAATAAACGGAAGGTCTTCCACATTCTCTGATAGAAGATTATGAAAATATAACGCATACTTCTCGCTAGAAATGCCATCGAAATGCACACAAATGCTGATGCTTTCTTAAAATATTGTGTTTCTCACAGATAATAGACCGACAGTCCGCCATTTTCTTGTTTAAGCTGAGGGGAAGTTGATAGTCACGTGACCTAGTTGCAAACGAAACGAAAGCTACTACACGTTTTGCTGTGAGACTGCGTCTGCACAAGCATGCTGTGCATGTTTGCTCCATATGATCACAGTCCACATCTGGATACACACAGTACATCTAAATTACACTCAACTTTGCCAAAACAAACCCCAAATATTTGGTTTTCGCCTGTTATTCTTGTTCCGTTGAAGTCTACTTGCTTTAAATTTGTTTGAAATGAACAAGAGGAAGACATTCATCCTCTATCTATACATGGTACTAGCAGACAAGCCACTGTTTATTGGAATTACAGTTCTATGTGATCTATATTCAAAACCACATGGAGCCGCTGGTTCAGAATAAGTCGTGTGAGGGATTTCAAAAATCTCCACCTCCTGAGAGGACCGGGCTGTAATTGTTTGTCAGAGTTCATCCCGCTGACGCTCCCCTTGTCCCTCCTCAGCTGCACAGAACCACTTCTTGTCCCAGTTCCTGCTGGATGGCGGCAGCCTCAGCGTTCCTCACCACCTGTACAGCATCCACGCACAGACGTATGGTGAAAACAGGGCGGCCAACCTGGTCTGTCCGCCGGTGGCCCACAGCATTTCCCCCACGTCCAGCGCCCAGCGGGACGGAGGTCGTCCCCTCGAGGACGGAAGCGCTGCGCCCGCGGAGGCTGCTGTGCGACACGTAGACAGCAGCTCTCTGTCCGAGGATGATGTTTTTTATAACTAGGCTCGCCGGCGATCTCGGCGGTAATCTCTGAAAGGAGCGCTGCTGAGGGGACTTACACGGCCGATCCAAAACATAAAGGGGGGACGTTTGTGAGGTTTGGCCGGCCGAGGGTGGCTTCAGCCACTCGTCCTCTGTTACAAACACTCCAAATTGTATTTTCTTCCCCATGTTGAGGCTTGTGCTTTTGTGAATGTACATAATTCCATTGGTAATTGATTTTTTTTATTTTTATTTGTCCTTGAATAAAAAGCAGCCCGAGTAAAGAAAACAAAAAGAAAGGAATTGTAAATGTGTCTTCTTTGAGGTTTCTCAGCTGATATGGAGAGAAGAAGAAGTCTGTCGCAAAGAAAATCCCAAACCCAATTATCTGTCTGGGTCTCAACTGCAGGATGATTATCCGGCATTCACGCTGTCACTGTGTTTCCTGGGGGGATGTTTGCATTTCTTTGTGTTTGAGAGCTGGTTGAGGACGGGAGGTGTTTGCGTTGCTCGTCCCGGTGTTTCTTTCAGCAAAACGTTTACGTGTAATGAAGCTGTGCTGCTCGGTCTGTTTCCCCTTTCACCATCTCAGCGTAGCTCACAGCAAAACAACCCTCAACTAGAGCAGCCCGGGTCTTTATGTAACGACAGAATGATTATTTCACAATCATGGTCAGAACTCTCAGTCTGGAATCAACAGGAAAGCAGCAAACACGCCTGTCGCACGCGTGTGGCGTGATTGAATCCGGGCACACGAGTGAGAGAGCAGCTCAGCTTTTTGTTCAGAGACCCATTTGACTCTTCATTTTCAATGAGGGAACGGAACTTGGAGTGATTGCTCGGGCACATGAGCCGAGGGGAAGGTAGACCGGACATGTCTGCACGTAGCTTGTTTTAAGTCCGTCCAGAAAGACACTAGACTGAGTGTGCATTTTGACTAATTAACTGAATGGGCCCTCTTGTGTTTTATTTGTCTTTGTTTATTCGTGCCGTGCTGAAGGGGGGGCTCGAGTGGGAGAGTAGGAGTTTTGCATTCATGCTTTTAATTGTTTGGGTTGAGTCACGTTAGTGTTGTAAATAGGCACATTTGATTTGATGTTTTGTGCAGTGGTGTTATATTTTTAATATTGCTAGAGCAACGCTCCACGCTGAGGCCCCACATCTTCCTTTACGAAACAAAGAAGTTATCTTCGGTTTCGTATTCTCCAGTTACTATTCACGTGAATGTTCATGTTATTCATAATATTCATAATATGCATTGCAGTACACCAATATTAACTTTTGATGCTTTTGGGATGTTGTAGGCAGACATGCTGAAGTTGCATGGGAATCTGGTAGATGTGATGGTTTATCTTTCCCGAAGTTGAATTTCATAGTGATCCCTCCATCCATATAAATTCTCAAGAAACGCAGCAAGATCGTGTTATTTGGTCTAACAGTTGTATTAGCTTTTGCTTTCATTACCACGTGTAGACTTTAAATAGTATGTTACATAAAAAAAGGTCAGGGAATGAGATGTGTGATACAAGATCCCGCTAAATTCAAAAATGTGAAGACAACAGCATTTAATACATGTTAAGGAACCAGCTGATCCCAGTTTAGTTTGAATGCAAACACTGTTACCTTCATGCAATGAACAAGTGATTTCATTATTAAAGCCAAGCCTGTGTCACTGCTAGTGGGGAAAGACATGGATTCATGTTTGCTGCTCAGATTTCTTTGGCCAAGTCTTCTAATATTCTCTTCATCTAGAGGAGAAAATAGAAACACAGGGAGGGAGGGAAGGGACGGCTTTCAATTCGCAAATTAGCAACGTACACGAGGACATTGGACATTGTGTCCAAACGTCCTGTAGAAGAGACAAAGAGGAACCAGACAAACTCAAGCTCGGTGTGTCATTAGCATTGGGTTTTATATTTGTGAAAAAACACTCATTACCTCGGGCCACGTGATGACCCCGACTAGCCTCCCCCTGTCTGCGACACACAAGGTCTGAACTCCAAGCAGACTCAGGATGCCGTGCGCCTGTGAGGACAAAAGGGAAAATGGATTAGAAGTAACAATTATCTAAAAAAGAAATGGCTCAAAATATGATTATTCACTTTCATTTATTTGAGAGTTAGGTGAGAAGATTGCTACCAACCGTATGTTGTCAAACCTGCATTAACCAGCAGTTACTTTCCAAATTCATCATTTGTGTTTCTGGCCATGTAAGTGCAGCATTCACTCGCTTTTAGCTCTGTTTTTTTTGGCCGCCATCTACTCGGAAATGTCCTGCACTGCTGGATGCTCGACCATGATCCCCAGCTGGTTGGTGAACTAGGAGCTGATTGGCCTGAAGAGTAATTACCCACCTCCTGAACGGTGTTGTGTGGTGACAACAGCACAGAGTTGGGGTGAATGCAGCAGACCTCATCCAGATGTTTCTCCAAAGTCTAAACAGAGCAACACAAAACAAGGCTGTGTACATTTTCTACGCATGCTCATCACGCAGTAGCTTTATGTAGTATTTTAGGAAGTATTTTACACAGTTGTGTTGTACTGTCTCTAAATATGTTCATATGTTTTTGGATATTGCTTCCATCTGTTTTTTCTAGTAGCAGCTCTATTTTTCTATCACTATAATGCTTTAAAATAGATGTCAGGTGTCACGAGATGAGCGGGTTGTGAAAGCGAGACCCGTCTTTTTAAACGGCGCCCTTCTACCTGTGTGACGCCATCGGTCTCGCAGTGACGCAGGAACATCAGCAGCTCTGACCGGAGAACAAAGCCCAGTACAATCTGCGACTCTTCAAACAGAAGAAAGGAGAGTGAATTCATTTCTGTTGCCAGTCGGTGCAGCAGTTCAGCGTGTGCAGCTCTCCAAGTGATTTGTGAGTTCAACACTGAATTGTTTTGAATTGCTGGAGCTTTTCAATTGTCACAATCACTTCTTTATCCGCCACTTGTCTGCTGATTTTCTTGAGGATCTTGATGACTGTGTCGATATGTCATCTTCTCACTTATGTGTAGTTTAATCATTTGTGGGAAGATGTAGACTAAACGATTGCGTTGTCTCCGCACCATGTGAGTCCACCACAGGGATTTGTTGGTCAGTGCTGGTGTTCACGGCATGTTGAACCTCCGCTGGCCCAGCTACCTTCTGGAGCTGCACTGATCTTGATTCCAAAACCTGTCCAATTGGTGTGAAGGGAAGCCTGCAAGGTGGGAATCGTGTCACACTAAAGCAGCTGTGGTTAAATCGGACACATATGGAGGTTCAAATCATTCTCAGGTCGTAACGATTCATTCATGGATAGAAGTTAATTGCAAATGAATATTTTGAGGCAAAACAGTAATATCTTCACTTTAACAGATATGGGAAGGTCTTCTCACTCGGCCAATTTTCACATTCAACTCCTCTTTTCTAGCTTTTCCTGTCACAACACACATCGAAGAAGCATCTGGATCCTTGGATCCTTTGTCTATGTCATATTTAGTGGCATCCACCTAATATCAGTTGAACCATGTCACGCTGGAGCAGTGCGTGACTAATATTGTTATCCAGAGAGCCAACAAATGTCATGAACTGCTTTTAAAGGTCTTCCAGGGCCTCTGACACTGCTCCCATATGACCTTTCATTTATTTACTGTGACTGCCGACCACAGATGTGACCATTCAAACCCGCCGTACCTCTAGAAACAATCGGACCCCTTGATGTTTATCTCACCGGGGGGACGCCTTCACCAGAGAGGGCAGGTGTGGGAGCCTCTTGCCGATGGAGAGCGCGTCATAAAAAGATGGGCGGTGCCCAGAGCGAGCCACAGCATTGGCCAGCAGAGTGGCGAGGAGTACGGGTAAGGCGTGGCTGAACTGACCGGTCAACTCTAAAGCCAGCAGCGCCGGGGACAAGGTGTGCGTCACAGCGCCGGAGAAGGCCGCTGCGCCTACGAGGAGGAAACCACACGGAGACAGCGAGCGTGCAGGAGCAACGTTGATGCTGGTGACATCACCACACTGTCAGTGCCAGGCCGACCATGGTGCTTTTTCATTTCAATCATTGGAAAATACAATTTAATTTAAACACTATAGAGGTGATGTCATCTCTAATTGAACAACGAGGCACTGATCGATGTCCCCTACCAGCCAGTGCATATCCTCCAGGATTCACAGAAGCCCACTGCTGGCTGGAGGTCAACGCAGTGGAAGACACATACGCTGCTCCTTCTCCAAACAAGCGGCCCAAAGCCGCCCCTGGAGATCCAAAACAGAAAAAAAAACACAAAGCGTTTCTCAATCGTTTAGTTCACAGCTTTCACAGGACACGACAAGGCAAACTTCAAACTGATAAACTGCCAAACAAAAACTCTCACTCACCGTAGACAAACACTGGCATGAAGTATCCGGTTGGGAGAGGCAGAGTCCAGGCGAGGACCATCATCCACACCTCAGGACAGACAACACACACCGTCAAATTCCTCCTCAGCCAGCCTCAAAATCAATGTAGCAAAAATAAACCCATTTTTCTCCACTTTAAATGTGCTGGTGGTGATGTGGGTGGAGGTGGGGGGTGGTGTACTATCACAGTCTATAGAACTGTTCCCCAAAGCAAAAAATGTTCACATACAAAAGCTTCTATTTTCTGCAACAACAAGTAAACCTTCCATCCGCTACGAGTGCAAATGAGAATATTAGATGTGTGCAGTGGTTGACGAGGTTTTCAATCAATGGCGTCTCCTCCAAACTGTTGAGATTTCTGTTCTTCTTTCTTTCTGCAGCGTTGCCGTGGGGGAGCATCAGCCGTCAGAAGACATTTCAGCTTGAAGGGGTGAAGAGTCTTCTGCTCACTATGCCAATAGTAGTGAGCAGTAATGTCAATTACTGTATGTTAATTGTGCGTCATCGTGACCAAAGGCAACGAGTGCAGCGACTGCCTTGTTGGTTGTCAGTGCAGGTGACAGATTTGAGAAAAAATCCTTTCTTAATTGGCTTCCCCCCTTTTGCTTGTACCTTCACGAGCAGAAAGACAGCCAGAGAAAGGACCGGGCTCCCTGATGAGCTCCACTCCAACAAAGGATCGGGGCCCGGTTGAACGGAGGCATTGTGGGATTGAGAGCTCCACTGTCTGCTATCCAGTAAGGAGGTGAGGAGCTGCTTCATGGTGAGCTGCGAAAGACATTTCTGACATTCAGATTCCAAAAACGAGGACAACTGTACATACTTACTATACATACTCTATCCATGATTTGAATTTTAGCTAAAGACACTCAAAGAGGGGAATATTTGTTTGTTGTATATATGTATATATATATATATAATTAGC